CCTGCCATTTGGCAGGGTGGAAAGTCTCTGTCCCCTTGTCTGCTCATCCTTTAAAAAAAAAAAAAAAATTATACACAAATAAATATTTAATACATCAGTCATTCCTTCCATGCGACTCGGTGTTTTCTCCATGGCTTCATCTTTTTGTTGTTTCTTCTATCTTCCCTTTCACCAAATCTATTACGACATTTCTCCAAAAGTACAGTATTCTAATTATACCATTTTCTTACATAACTATTAGTTTGCTTTTCTAACCAATGGTAAAATTGATCCCCTATCTTAAAGTATTCTGAATCCTCTCTTTCTTTGATCATCAAAGTTAATCTATTCATTTCTGCACAGTCTGATTTTTTTTTAATTATTTCTCCTTCCAAAGGTATTTTCTCTGCTTTCCAATTTTGTGCAAAAACAATCCTTGCAGCTGTTATTACATGTATAATCAAATAGATATTTTCTTTGCTAATTTTCTCTGGAAGGATGCCCAGTAGGAACAGCTCTGGTTTTAAATCAATATGTTGTTGTATCATTTCTTCCAACCATGTCTTAATTTTATTCCAATAGTTTTTAGCTTCTGGACATGTCCACCACAGGTTTGTCTCATTCAGAGAGGAGAAAAGCAGTTACAGATGGCTTAGATTAGTTGGAAAAGTTCCATACTACATATTAGATCATGTACTTCCGTATTCATTTTCAGTCTTTTGAGTGGCTTCTCAATTCTTTATTGCACCCCTGCCATTTGGCAGGGTGAAAAGTCTCTGTCCACCCTTGTCTGCTCATCCTTAATTCCAATCTGCTCTAAAGTCGGGAACGTACCTTCAGGCATTCTGAGCTCATCCCCCAACAAAGGAGTTTTATCCAGAAAAAGCACTACCGAATGCTAAAACATTAATCCCTTTCACTTAGGTGCTTTAAGCTCAATCACCTACAAGCTTCTACTGATCTACTTCATTAGTAAAGGTAAAGGTTCCCCTCGTGATAGTCATTCCTGACTCTAGGGGGCGGTGCTCATCTCCATTTCAAAGCCGAAGAGCCAGCGCTGTCCGAAGACGTCTCCATGGTCATGTGGCCAGAATGACTCAATGCCAAAGGCGCACGGAACGCTGTTACCTTCCCACCAAAGGTGGTCCCTATTTTTCTACTTGCATTTTTTACGTGCTTTTGAACTGCTAGGTTGGCAGAAGCTGGGGCAAGTAACGGGAGCTCACCCCATTACGCTATTAACTTCATTACGTTAGTTTATTATTATTAGTTAGTTATGCTACTAACTTGATTAGTAGCAATGCTTTATTTACATAACTGATTTACATAAAGGTAAACATGGCCCATCAAAGGTGTCTGAATTCATGAGTTTGAAACAGGGGTTTCAAACTCAAGACCCGGGGGCCAGATCCAGCTCACGGGGTGCTTAGATCTGGCCTGCAGGGCCACCCTGGAAACAGCAAAGGACCGGCCTGCGGTGCCTCTGCCAACGAAAACAGATCTTAGGAAGGCTGCAGGCAGCTCTCCGGAACTCCATCTTCGCTGGCAGAGGGTTTTAGGAGGCCGTCGCAGCCGAAAACGAAGCTTGGGAGCCCTTTTCCGCTGGCAGAGTGCTTGGGCCACCACAGGCACCCTCCGACACGTGTGACATTGAGCTGGCCATGCCCACCCTGGCCCTCCAAGGTCAAACACAACCTTGGTGTGGCCCTCAATGAAATAAATTTTGACACCCCTGCTCTAAGACTTCTGGTTGGGAGAAGAAATGGGAAGGAGGATTCGAGACCATGAATTTCATGAAATTCATGGTCTCAAGTACTCCTTCCCATATTCCCCATGTGTTTGTTTCATTTCCTTCTGTTGTGTTTAATTCGGGGACAATTCATGTGAATAGGTTGGGACAGAAAGATAAATTCTAACCACCATGTTCCCTGCAGGACCAGAATTCTATTTGAGTTCTTGATTCAGCTCTAACCATTTGATTGTTTATAGATTAACATATGGGATGCGGTGGCTCAGTGACTAAGAGGCTGAGCTTGTCGATCGAACAGTCAGCAGTTCAGCGGTTCGAATCCCTAGTGCCGCATAACGGGGTGAGCTCCTGTGACTTGTCCCAGCTTCATCCAACCTAGCAGTTCGAAAGCACATAAAAAATGCAAGTAGAAAAATAGGGACCACCTTTGGTGGGAAGGTAACAGCGTTCCGTGCGCCTTTGGCGTTGAGTCATGCCGGCTACATGACCATGGAGACATCTTCGGACAGCGCTGGCTCTTCAGCTTTGAAACAGAGATGAGCATCACCCCCTAGAGTCGGGAACAACTAGCACATATGTGCGAGGGGAATCTTTACCTTTACTATAGATTAGCATCCAGAGCAGCATATACTTTAAAGGGAGGGGGGAGAGACCACAAAACAACCTTACACAGCTCATTAAACCCTAAATCCTCAAAATGCCTTTGAGGCGAAGAAAATAACAGCCTCAAACAAAAATAGTCTTTCCTAAACTGGTCCTCTCTGATTGTGCGGTGAACTTCAGTTGCCCGACTTCTCTTACAGCTTAAGTCTTAACCATATCAGCTAGGAAAAAAACTGGGATTTGCTAACCCAGCACATCTGGAGCACACCAAGGTTGGAAAACTGATCTAGAAGTTGATTAATGACTCTTCCTTGCTAAAGGTCAATTAGTGCCCCTCCCAACTGATGGGATGTGGATCGAGAACAAGGTTGGGGAGTTATTAACTTCAAAATATGCTATTTTAGCATTCCCAGCTGCATAATCAAAGAATCTGGCTTGTGCTTCTTTGATTACATGCTGCTGTTTGGTTTTTTAGGAGCGCTACAGTACTATTTCGAGTTACAGTACAATTAGTCTTTAAAGAAATATAAAAACGAAACGTATCCAAGCAATTGAACTCACATCGACTCCTCCTGTTGAAAGAAACCTTGGTGGTTTTTTTGCCTTCGCCTGAAGAGAAAGAGAGGTACAGAAGTGGCCAAAATTGTGGAAACCTTTTGGGGAAAGTATATTTTCTAAAACTAGCTAATAACACACACTTTTTGGAGGAGTACCCTAAAATTATATATCAATGGAAAGATAATTGAATCAAGAATGTAATGCAATGACTTTTATGAAGGATTTGCTATTAGAATAGCAGTTACAAAGAAGAAAAGTGAAACGAGATATACAAAATGATCACCGTAGAAAAAACGAGCTATACAAAAATTATCACCATGTCGGTTAATACTGAATTGGGTAAGTTTTAGCATGAATGATGACCTTACAACGTCTTCCCATGGAGTGAACTAAGTCTTTTAGTTCTGCAGCTGTTATCATGCGAAATCAAGATTGAAGGATTGCTTCTATTAACTGGGTTTTATTGCTGGGTCGCTTCTGACTAACAAGTTTCTTTAGTTGGCTCCATAGATTTTCAATTGGGTGAAGGTCTGGGCTATTCCCAGGCCATTCCTGCAGTGGAATAGGATTATCTCAGGGGTGAAATGCTCCCAGTTCAGACCGGATCGCTCGATCCGGTAGCGATGGCGGCGGGTGGTTCGGAGAACCGGTAGCAAAAATCCCTGTGCCCCCCCCACCCCACCATGCCCAGCTGAGCCGCACAATCATCAGAGGCTTTTTTTTTTTTTACTTTTAAAAGCATTTTTTCTATAACCTCTTCTGAAGAAAAAATGCTTTTAAAAGTAAAAAAAAAAAGCCTCTGATGATCGCGTGGCTCAGCTGGGATCATCAGAGGCTTTTCAAAGCATTTTTTTCTGCAACCTCTTGGCTGAAGAGGTGGTTAAAAAATTGCTTTGAAAAGTCTCTGACGATCCCAGCTGAGTTGCCTGATTGGCAGAGGCTTTTCAAAGCATTAGAAAAAATGCTTTGAAATTTTTTTTTAAAAAAAAGTTGGCCACGCCCACCCAGTCACATTAACCCCCCGCACCAAGCCACACCCACAGAACCGGTAGTAACAAATTTTACATTTCACCCCTAGATTATCTTGAAACTCCCCCCCAAAAAAGTGGTGTTATTAGCCATCAAACCTCAAAAATACACTTTTCCCAAAAGGTTTCCACTACAACAAGTCCACGTTTTTGTGAAATGTTGTTTCCCCTACAATACCCACATCTCCAATTTTAGCTACTTTTCTTTTTTACCTCAGAAAGTTTCAGAAATGCATTGCTATGATTTATCATTTGAAAGTCTTATTTTTTTCCCCCGATCATATCAAGTGTTTTCATGTTAATATCATCTTCAACACCGTGCCAAAATAGAGAGCCAGTTTGGTTTAGTGGTTAGGGTACCAGGCTAGAAAGCAGGAGACCTTGAGTTCAAGTCCCACCTTAAGCGCATAAAAGTCAGTCACTCTCTCTCTGCCCAACCGATCCCACAGGGTGGCTGTTGTGGGTAAAATAGGAGGAGGAAGGTGCGTTGGATATGTTGACTTCCTTGAGTTATTTGTAAAAAAAATTAAATAAAGGCAGGATATGAACAAACCTATATATATAAAAGCCAAATACCACTCAGTCATCACAAAACCTCCAGAATGGTAAAGCCTACAAACTTGAAATTTGGCACATATGTTCCTCTTGGCTTCTAGGTGCTCGCTAAGAAAGGATTTTTCGAAATGATCATCAGATCATTAGTATTTCATATACAGGATTATATTCACACGCTCTGATGCTAAAGAGTTAGACATTCTACTTCCCCCTCCCCATCTGAAAGGAACTCTGTCCCAACTGCCAGTTGTCTTATATTAACATGCTCTGATGCTACCCTTTCTCTAAATCGGGCATGGGCGTGGCCAGCGCGAGACTCATCCGGCCTGCGGACTGGGACATTTACTCCCCTTCCCCCTCTGTTCAAACTGCCAATTGCCTTATATTAACACACTCTGATCCTACGGAGTTACAAATTCTACATTAAGTTTCAGGCTTTAAGTATCAGTTTATCACGCCAGATCACATAGTTTTGTAGCGAAGCACAGGCATCCAGCTAGTAAATAAATATTGGTTCTTTCAACCAGGTACTGTTATTCCATGACCAGAACTATGGGATACATTACGAATATACCATCCCTGTGAATTATTCTACTGAAAATAGAAGTGAGCCAGAACATCAGCAGGAATCGCTGTACATATGGACACACAGTGGATGGGAAGACTGCAATGTACAGTGCGGAGGAGGTAACATTCATTTATTTATCCAAAGAGTTGGTACTCTTACCTAACTAGCTGCAATTGTTAAGATGATTTCCGTTATTTATAAACCACAGCCAAATGAGTCCTTGGTTGCTGGGAATAAAAATGTATACTAGTTTCATTCTGGACTACAGAGTTGTTGTTGTTGTTTTTAGACAATCAGCTTACTGTTCAGCCTTTGGACCATCGTAATCTCAAAGTAGGATAGGATAGGAGTGGAGTAGAGTAGAGTGGAAGTAGAATAGAGTAGGGTAGGGTAGGGAGAGTAGAGTAGAGTAGAGTAGAATGATATGGAATGGAATGGAATGGTATGGTGTATGGCATGGTATGGAATGAGATAGGAGTGGAGTGGAGTGGAATGGAATGGAAGTAGAATAGAGTAGAGTAGGGTAGGGAGGATAGAGTAGAGTAGAGTAGAGTAGAGTAGAATGATATGGAATGGAATGGTATGGTATGATATGGTATGGTATGGTATGGAATGAGATAGGATAGGATTGGAGTGGAATGGAATGGAAGTAGAATAGAGTAGGGTAGGGAGAGTAGAGTAGAGTAGAGTAGAGTAGAGTAGAGTAGAGTAGAGTAGAGTAGAGTAGAGTAGAGTAGAAGATAGGATAGGATAGGACAGGATAGGACAGGACAGGACAGGACAGGACAGGAAAGCTCTAACAGCTGAAGAAGCTTCTTGGATGAGAAGCGAAATGTCTTCAAAGAAAAACCAGAAAAATCCAATTGCTTCTTGAAAAAGCCCCTTTGGGATGGCCACAACTAAATCCTACTGACCTCTTGTGAATCATAGATGGAGCCCCTGGATAAGCCAAGCATTGTTATCCTTCCCCACTCAATCCCTGAAGCTATCATATCTGATGAAGCCTCCAAGAAGCCTGGGTTAAAAAAAAAATTCTCTTTAATCCAGCAACCTGAAACCATTTTAACTGGAAATCTCAGCATTTGACCTGGAATGCAAACTCTTTTTTTTTTCCCTACTGAACTCTATAGCTCTTGAATTGACTGATCTGGGAAGATTGATGATCAAACATTTTCCATCATTGCAGACAAAACTGGTCTGGAGAGGAATCAGAAATTCAAGGCAATGAGCTGGAGACAATCAAATCTTCCTTCCACCTAAGTAGAAAGCAAAGCAAACTGCTCCATAACTATTACATTATGGGAGAAACATTTCTTGCCTGCCAAGAAATATGTCATATGATCTGTTTTTGCTTCAGGTTCCTAAGTGGCTACTTTGCAAAGTAGCAATTTGGGGGTGGGGGGGAAATAACCCCACTGGCAATTTGCTTACAGTCAAGTAGGATTCTGCTATTTTCTACTGCAACAATATTTCTGAAATCCAGAAATCCATTGCCAAACGACAGCAGATAAATATTTTAATAAATAGCTCTGCCGTGCCAGAATGACTCTTTCTTCCTTTCTTTTGCATTCAGGGGAAAGGAAAACTATTGTGTCGTGCACCCAGATTGTTAACAAGACAATGATGTTGGTGAACGACAGCGCTTGCCAGCGGGCAACCCGTCCTGAGCCACAGATCAGAAAGTGCAATGCCCATCCTTGCCAGTCCAGGTAAGAAGCTCGTTGCAAAAATCAGAAATAATTTCCCCTTGGAATAGGTCAGGGATCAACAACCGGCGGCTCTGGAGCCGCATGTGGCTCTTTCACCCCTCTGCTGCGGCTCCCTGTCACTCAAAATATGCGTCACAACTGCCAATGTGCGACATCCGCCGGTACGCGATTTATTGAGCTGTTCAACCCCCGGTAGGCCAACCATGGATAAATCCAAGAAAAGAAAAGTTTCAGAAGAAAACAGAACGTTTAATTCAACTACATATGTTAGTTTTGTGGCACTCAAGAAATAGTCAGGCACGGGAAGGGTTTTGTGGCTCCCGGTGTTTTCTTTTCTGTGGGAAACGAATCCAAATGGCTCTTCGAGTGTTTAAGGTTGCAGACCCCTGGAATAGGTAAAGGACAAAGGTCACCTTTGTGACCCAAAAGAAACATTTATAGTTGGGTTCTTCATGAGCATCACATGTCTGTGGGTAGCAATAGCAACAGCACTTAGATTTATATACCGCTTCACACTGCTTTACAGCCCTCTCTAAGTGGTTTACAGAGTCAGCCTCTTGCTCCCAACAATCTGGATTCTCATTTTACCAACGTCGGAAGGATGGAAGGCTGAGTCAACCTTGAACCGGGTGAGATTTGAACTGCCAAATTGCAGACAGCCGGTAGGCAGCGGAAGTAGCCTGCAGTACTGCACTCTAGCCATTGTGCCACAGTGGGTACCTATCTAGAAAAAAAAGATGAAAGTGAGCCAGGGTTGAAAGAGACACTCTTGTGAGCTAGGAGAGGTGTTGGGAGCAAATCAATCTTCCTTCTAGCAAAGGCATTTTGGAGATCAACCATGCAACATGTGCTAGTCATTTTATGAACAGGCAAGCCCTGTGCCTCGGGGTAGCTATTATTCAAGAGCGACATGCTCTCAGTTCCATTATTATTATGGTTGGGTGCGCAATCCTCCAGATGTTCCTCCTGGATTTGGCATTTTTCTGCATCTTTTGTGTGCTTCCCAAGAACCTGGGATAGCCAGAAGTTGTTTAATGATGCTCAAGGTACCTTCACAGGATGTAAGCTATTCCAAGCAAAGCTGCCTTTTGCAATTGACTGCGGGTGATTTTTGTCAATGCCGACGGTGTTCAGAGGGTTTCGGGATTGCACCCAAGGGCCTCTTACGCCTATTAAATTGATCAGTAGAGTTTGAAGCACTGAAGAATGAGAGCCATTGGATAGGGACTTCTAACTGCTTTTATACTTTCTAGTAATAGAAGTTTTGATTCATCAGCTAGTCAAACCGTAAAAGTTGAGATACCGGTAATTATGCTAAGCAGCAAAGGTGGGTTTCAAGCAGGTTCTGACCAGTTCTGGAGAACCGGTAGTGGAAATTTTGGGTAGTTCGGAGAACCGGTAGTAAAAATTCTGACTGGCCCCGCCCCCATCTAGTCTCTGCCTCCTGAGTCCCAGCTGATCGGGAGGAAATGGGGATTTTGCAGTATCCTTCCCCTGGAGTAGGGCGGGAATGGAGATTTTACAGTATCCTTCCCTGCCAGGCCCACCAAGCCACACCCACAGAACCGGTAGTAAAAAAAAATTGAAACCCACCATTGCTAAGCAGGCTCCATTGTTTGGGGGGGTGGGGGTTTCCTCTATCCAGTGGCACTTTTTGTCTGCTAAGACATTCATTTGCTATTTGGTCAGAAACAGAGTGAAGGAGATAATCTTCACGATGATTGCTTCTCTTCATCTACAGGACAGACGATTAGTAACTGTGCATAATGGAAGCCCCCTTTTTTCCCCTCAACATCATGAAATAACTACTGGGCCAACCCTAGAAGCTAAGTGGACAAATGCCCACAACCAAGGCAATCTTAGTGACCTCTAAAATGTCTTTTGAGGAAGTTTCTGGTCACCTTAGGAGGGACCCGGTGGCTCAGTGGCTAAGACACTGAGCTTGTTGATCGAAAAGTTGGCAGTTCGGTGGTTTGAATCCCTAGTGCCGTGTAATGGGGTGAGCTCCTGTTACTTGTCCCAGCTTCTGCCAACCTAGCAGTTCGAAAGCAGGTAAAAAATGCAAGTAAGGAGCCTTGGTAGTACAGTGGTCTAAAGCACCCTGTTATTAAGACCAGCTGCCTGCAATTACTGCAGGTTCGAATCTCTCCAAGGCTCAAGGTTGACTCAGCCTTCCATCCTTTCTAAGGTAGGTGAAATGAGGACCCAGTTTGTGGGGGCAATAAGCTGACTTTGTATAAATATACAAAAGGATGAAGGCTATTGCTTAGCACATTGTAAGCCGCCCTGAGTCTCCGGAGAAGGGCGGCATATAAATCAATTTTTTTTAAAAAAAAAGTAGAAAAATAGGGACCACTTTGGTGGGAAGGGAACAGTGTTCCGTGTGCCTTTGGCATTTAGTCATGTCGGCCACATGACGATGGAGACGTCTTTGGACAGCGCTGGCTCTTCGGCTTTGAAACGGAGATGAGCACCACCCGCTAGAGTCAGGAACGACTAGCATGTATGTTCGAAGGGAACCTTTAACTTTACCAATGGTCACCTTAGAGGTCAGGCATCTAAGAGTGGGACTGTTGATTCATGTGCTAGAAGCACATGGCCAGAGAATGCTTCATTGTCTGGCCACACCCTGCTTAGCGTTTTCTGAACCCTTCCAGGTTGACCATACATTCACACTTCAGAGGCTGCCAAAATGGAAATATGTTTTCTGAAACGCATTCCCTTCACCTCTATAGAATTTAAATTTCCATTTGTGTTTGCCCACCCAGATATTAGAAATGTATGCTTGGCATATTCATTGACGGAGAACATCTTAAAGAGAGACCGTTCTCTCTTTCACCGTGGATAGAGGGTTGTTGTTGTTTTAAATAAAGAGATCTATCTTCTTTTCAGATATTGTGAGTTTGTTTTCCAAGTTCAAGTGGAATTATTATGGGATTCCTAACAATAAGTTCTTCTGTTTTTCACATCATGCTCTGCTTTTTTTTCTGCATGTGTTGTAGGAAAGGAGAACAGGAACTATAATTTCTAGCCTGCTGTCTGACATTGTGATAGAGTTACACAATAAATCTGGGATGTTAAACATGATATTCGCCAGAAAGAGAGATTGGGAGGGGGGGGGCGTTACCCTTAAGATCTGAAGTGTTTGTGTTTGACTCTTTGATATTCAATTCTTCAAAAGTTGTTATGATTTCTTTGATTAGCCAGCTCTAAAATTGCAATATGGGTAATCCTCGTTTAGCAACCAAAATTAGAATTGGCCACTCAGTCGTTAAGCAAAGCAAACACCACAACGGTGCTTATGATCTTATTTCAGCTTTCCTTTGCTTTACCAACCTGCAAAGGTCATAAATGCATGGATTTGGTTGCAAAGTTATTTTTTTTATCACCGTTGCAACGGCAAGCATTCATTAAACGAGGCAATTGCTATCTTTAGTTGTCCTATCCTGCAGTGCGAAAGTTCGAGTAGGAGAGAAAAAAAAATCCATAAAAGATGATACGGAGTTAAATACTTCATGAAAGATGTTGTACAGAGATCTGTAATTGTATATTTCATTCAGTGTACTTAGTTTTTAGTAGTTGTTATTGAAGACATAAAAGGAACACGGTGGCTCAGTGGCTAAGACGCTGAGCTTGTCAATCGAAAGGTCGGCAGTTCAGCGGTTCAAATCCCTAGTGCCGCGTAACCGGGTGAGCTCCCGTTATTTGTCCCAGCTTCTGCCAACCTAGCAGTTTGAAAACACGTAAAAAAAATGCAAGTAGAAAAAAATAGGGACCACCTTTGGTGGGAAGGTAACAGCGTTCCGTGCGCCTTTGGCATTTAGTCATGCCAGCCTCATGACCACGGAGACATCTTCTTCGGACAGCGCTGACTCTTTGGCTTAGAAACGGAGATGAGCACCGTCCCCTAGAGTTGGGAACGACTAGCACATATGTGCGAGGGGAACCTTTACCTTCACCTTTATTAAAGACATAGTCATCATCCCCAGATGGTGTAAAATGCAGCAATTTAAAATGAAAGCTCCTCTCACAACTTTAAGTCCCATGTGTCTTAGAGGTGCTCGACTTTTAAGATTAGGATGTTTTTCTTTGAAGGAGAATTCCTTCTTTTTGTTTTCGTTAGCTTTTTTAAAATAAATGAAATGTGTAAAAGTACCGGTAGCTCTTTGGCTACTTTAGCGAATTTGTAAAGTGGATCTGGTGACATATTTCTTGTATAATTCACATTTGTTATCTCTACTGCGGTACTTCAGCTTGTGTTCTTCATCTTTCTCTAGTTAATAATTTTGTGGTTTCTTTATCCTAAATTTCACTAATAGTAAGATAAATTATTTGGGACTTCCTGGATACCAGACAAATGATAGATAGCAAGGCCAAATCTTTGGTGCCAGATTTTGTAAAGCAAAGGACCCTGGAGAATAAAATCAAGATGAAAAATCTCTACTTAATTCACATATGCTACTAAGCTATGGCTTGTTTGTCAATTAAACAAAAGTATTTGTGTGTGTGTGTGTGTGTCATTTGGTGCACACATGAACAAAAGAGATGAAGCTTGTATATTGACAGCGCTGCCCCTTATGTCTGTTTGATGAAACCATTGGATCCTATTTCTGTCTATTAACCAAATTCGTAATCCTTAATCACCATCGTTTGATATCCTTTGACCGAATTCATATTTGATGCTGTGTTTCCACACCGTTGTTTTTGCTTTTCCTTCAGCTCCTGCTTTCAAAATTCAGCCAATCTGACATTTTGCAAACCACTGTTTATAAGCTCTATGAAAAAAAGATGTCGAAACTATAGAAAAAGTGCAAAGAAGAACAAGGACAACTAGGGGAGTGGAGGCTAAGATCAGGGGTGAAATGATCCCGGTTCGGACTGGATAGCCCGATCCGATAGTGACAGTGGTGGGTGGTTTGGAGAACCGGTAGCAAAAATCCCTGCGCCACCCCCTCCCATGTCCATCTGAGCCGCGCAATCATCAGAGGCTTTTTTTTTAC